GGGACGTGAATGGGGTGCTATTTAGGGACCATTTTAGAAACGAGCTGGCCAACGTGCGCGTGTCGCTGGGCCAGGGCGCCAAACACACCTGGTCGGTCTACCTGGTGATGACACCGGTCGACCCCACCGGTGCGCGCGTTCACTGCACAGCACTCGTACAGCGAGTGGTCGGCAATTGGTTGCAATGTAAGTGCGATATTAATTATTACCATAGTTGGCAACATGAGTATTATGGATGATGTGTTAATCAAACCTTGTTTTGTTGTTATTTTGCCATAGATTACTATTACGAACCGCTGGCCACAGATCAGCGCCAGAGCACTGTTTTGCCCGAGTTTTTGGTTCACTCACTGCGGGCTATGATTGGCCAGAAGTGGTCAGTACTGGTGCGCCGGACGAACGGCTCGCAGCGCACACCCGGCAGTAGTTATCGCCGGTGTTTGGTATTCATCGCCAACTTTCTGGACGATCAGACGGCGTTGAACGCGTACAACTGGTCACCCTATGATCTCGTACCGTGACACTTGGGCTATACTGTTTGATATTTATTATTTGAATGTATTTTGTTTGTGTTTCAATTAATTAATGAGCTTAATAAATTTTTGTATAATTATATGGCTTATATTTTTAATCGTGGTCAACAATGATCATCGTGTATGGTAAACATGATTTATTGCATGTATAACAGTGTTGTATTTACAAAACTTTAGTTAGTTTGCGATATACATAATATTATAGAATATTCTGTGTTTTTTATATGAAAAGCATAATATTTTTAGGCATAACATTTCCATACGAGTGCACAAATCAATACCACTTATAATACATAAAACAAATTTTATGTATTGATTTTATATGCATTCATATAATATCTTATCACTCAAGATATGATTATGCAGAAAACAATTGCTTAAAAACACTACAAAAAATCATTCAAAAACATACAATTGTTTTCCACTAGAAATATACGGATATTTTTGTTAACTGAAGTTTGAATAGTATTAGAGAAATGGCATAATTTTGATGATAAATGCTTTCCCCCTAACCGTCCCCTCAGATCATCCTATCCCTAAATCTCTCT